TCAGCTTGTCATACTGGGATTTGAAGGCGGGACACTGGGGTGGGGTGGGTAGAGGGCATGGGAGTAAAACAACCTTACCTGCCACCCAACCCTGTCTCTCCAGTGAACAGGGCCACTGTTCCCAGCCACTACCTGCAGATGCCATTGGGGTGTGCAGGGTGGGGAGCTTCCAGGGAAGCCCTATGACACTACAGAAAGTTGGAGGATATTCAGGGGGCATTGGAAGGAAAAGAAGCCCCTGAACTGAACTTCCCAGGACAAAAGAGCCATAGTCTGTGAAGACTCTACAAGGCTGCTTGGCTCTGGTAGTAGAGAGTGGGAATGTTGCAGGTCCAGGGACAAATCATCTAGGGACATCTTTATACCTTAATAGGGGTTCATCACCCAGCTCTGTCTGTGGGCAACATCGTGGGGGAACTAGGCATGTCCCGTTGGACCCCTGAGATCTGCCACAGATAGCCTGTGACCACAGCAGAGCTCTCCCTGCTTTGCTGGATGCTCTGGACCACATGTTCCCACCAATGTATTTCATAAGTGTTTGGATTTATGGCTTTTTTGTTCTGTTAGTATAAAAACTTCACCAAACTGTTAACACATTCGAACATGGAATTTGGGGGAACCTGAAACTGTGTTCCTGGGCCATGGTCACTCATATTTGGCTCTGGTATAAATAGCTTGAGGAGAGAGTTGTGGGGTTTTGTTTTTTCATTGACAAGCCCCTCACCCCCAGAGTCTGGATGAATCCTCTCATCAGCTGAATCAGGAATTTCATCACACAGGTGTTGGAGAACTGGCTCAGCAGTTAAGAGCACTGGCTGCTCGTGCAGAGGACCCAGGTTTTGGTTCCCAGCACCCATATGACAGCTAACAACCACCTTTAACTCCAGTTCCAGGGGATCCAAGTCCCCCTTCTTACCTCTGTGGGCGGGCATTGCACTACATGGGTGCACTTAAATACATGCAGGCTAACACACACATACATTAAAAAAATTTCTTTAAAAAAGAAATGTTAAAAAAAAGGAAGCAACCTGTGGTGCACCCCTTCCTGGAACACCCCCATAGGCCTCTCTTCTCCTCACCAAACACCAAATAGGCTGGGTCTTCTGAACATGGGATGTTCCTTTTGGGCCCCTGAACTGATGGGGTGCTAGTATCTAGGAGGGTGGGGAACATGGGGGTGACCTCAGGGAGGTCAAGTGAGGCTGGTCAAGTCTACAGACAACAGCACTTCCTGCTGACCATGCTGTCTCCTGGAACCCTCACTCCAAAGCTCAGGGGTTGGGACTGTGTCTCCCCACCGATGCAAGTTCATGGTGCATCCCCGACATGTCACTTCCCCCAGTTGATGCTCCTGACTGTGGGGGATGCAGGCTTGCAGAGGCTGACACTGAGCTCCACACTGCAGCCACATTGGACAGGGGAAGGACTGTAATAAGGGGCCGGGCACATAGCACTGATGTCCTCTGCTCACAGCCTGGTGGCATAAGACCAGAGGTGCTAGCTAACAAAGAGGCTGAGGCAGGAGAAAAATGTCTCATGGGCAACTTAGTGAGCCCTGTCCAAAAAAATAGGGTTGGGGGTTGTAGAGATAGCTCAGCGGTTAAGAGCACTGGGTGCTGTTGCAGAGGACCCACATTCAAATCCCAGCATCTACATGGCGGTTAACAACCATTAGTAACTCCAGTTCCAGGAGAATCCAATGCCCTCCTCTGACCTCTGCAGGCATTGCACGACATGGCTGTACCTATCTACATGCAGGCAATATACTCATACACATAAAATAATAATGAATAAAATATTTTTTATTATTTATTTATTTTTTGGCCTTTTTGAGACAGGGTCTCTGTAACCCCAACTGGCCTGGAACTCACTATGTAGACCACCAGGCTGGCTCACAGAGATCTGCCTGCCTCTGCCTCCCGAGTGCTGGGATTAAAGGCGCGGGCCACCATGCCGGGCCAATATTTTTATTTTTGTCTTCTTTTTTTTTTTTTGAGACAGGGTCTCCTTGTAGTTCCAGCTAGCCAGGCTATCCTCGAACTCACAGAGATCTGCCTGCCTCTGCTTCGCGACTGCTGGGATTAAAGGCATGTGCCACCATGCCCAGCAGAAATAAAATATTTTTAAAAATAGAGGGTTGAGGGTATGGCTCAAGGGTAGAGCCCCAGTGAGGGACCGGGGTCCTGGCTCAGGGGTGGTGTGACAGCCTAGAATTCCCCAGTGAGGGGCTGGGGGCGTGGCTCAGGGTAGAGTGACAGCCTAGAATCCCCAGTGAGGGGCTGGGGGCATGGCTCAAGGGTAGAGTGACAGCCTAGAATCCCCAGTGAGGGGCTGGGGGCGCGGCGGCTCAGGGTAGAGTGACAGCCTAGAATCCCCAGTGAGGGGCTGGGGGCGTGGCTCGGGGTAGAGTGACAGCCTAGAATCCCCAGTGAGGCGCTGGGGGCGTGGCTCAGGGGCAGAGGGACAGCCTAGAATCCCCAGTGAGTATGGTTTTATTTGCAAAGCCCATACCTGCAGCCCAGTGCGCCCTCACCCGGGCTGCTGCTCTTCAGCCCCTGACCTTTTCTGTCTCCCCAGCCATCCCACATGGCCTTCAGAAAGCAGTGAAGGGACTGGCTTCCAAACTGGGATGGTAGAGACAAAATCTGAGTCACAAAGTAAGATACCACCTCCGAAATGACAATGTGTCAGCAAGGTCAAATTTATTTCTGCTTACGAGGGTGTGTGGCCACCAAAAACAAGAGAGAAATCACGGCCAAAATGGGGTTCAGTTTTTACCGCTAATGAAGCTCTTGCAGAGGACCCGGGTTCTGTTCCCAGCATCCACATGGAGGCTAACAACTGTCTGTAACTCCAGTTCCAGGGGATGTGATGCCATCTTGTCTTCTGGCCCCCAAGAGCATTGCACAAATGTGGTGCACTTACATGTGGGTGGTAACACACACACATAAAAATAATAAATTAATATTTTATTATTTTTATTTAATTTTTTAAATTTTATTTGTATTTTATGTGTATACGTGTATTGCCCACATGTAGGCAAGTGCACCCGTGTTGAGCAATGCCTGTAGAAGTCAGAGAGGCCGTCGGATCCCCTGGGACTGGAGTCACAGACAGTTGCCAGTCACCATATGGGTGCTGGGATTCTAACCTGGGTCCTCTGCAAGAACAACGTGTTCTGCAAGAACCACCATTATTCTCAACCTCTGAGCCATCTCTCCAGCCCCATTATTTTTATTTTATGTGTATGCACGTATGTATTGCTAGTGTGTAGGTAAGTGAGTGCACCGTGTCATGCAAAGCCTGCGGAGGACAGAAGAGGCCGTCCAATCCCCTGGAACTGGAGTTACAGTTGTTAGCTGCCATGTGGACGCTGGGATTCAAACCTGGGTCTTCTGCAAGAACAACCAGTGTTCTTAACTGCTGAGCCATCTCTCCAGCCCCAACAATAAATTTTTAAAAAGGCAAACGCTGTCTGGGGATCAGTTTGAAAGCTGCTTGGCAATGGATGTGTCTATAAGCCTCTGCAACAGGCCCTTAACAAAAGGGATTATACCACATTCTATTAGCCTCACTAATTCAACTACTAAAATTAAGAAGTTAAAACCAAAACCATGCCAGGTATGGTGGCACACACCTTTAACTCCAGTATTCAGGAGGCAGAGGCAGGTGAATATGAGATGGAGGCCAGCCTGGTCTACAAAGTGAGTTCCAGGCCAAAAAACCAGAAACATTCCATCTTGGAGAGAAGCTTGTTAATATACAGGCCGTCTTGTGGGGTGGTGACACATTCCATGTGCAAGGAAGCTCCTTAAGCTCAGGAAGGCCCTGAAACTGAGTGTATTCACTTATATACACTTAGGGCTTCTAAGGACTGCTGGAAAAGGCTCTCAGTGCAGCTGAGCCTCTGGATACTCTCCAGCCTGGCGCTGACTGCAGGGTGTGCAGTGTGCTCCAGGCTTCCTGCTTCCCTGAGCTGGCACCACGCTGGGGTGGGCTATGGTGATACACCTGTCTCTAAGTCATTTCTGCTCCTGTAAGTAACCAATAAAACTCATCGGTTCACCAAGTTGGACTTCGGTGGTATCCTTACTTTGGTCTGTGTTCACTCCCTATCTGGGGTGGATACACATTTGTTCACACACAGAGATTCTCCTGTCTCTGCTTCCCAAGAGTTGGGATTGGACCGAGTGTACTCCGGGATGTACTCTGCGGAGGCTGTGGAGAGCAGGGCCGTGGGCTCGCGTTTTCCTTTTTCCCAGGATCTGATCATTAATTAATGATGGGAACCCGAGGTAACTGGTGCTACCGCCAGAGAAAGGACTCAGGGGGCTTAATCCCGCTCTCCGGGGGCGGGGGTGTCATAAGGTTGAGAGACTTTGATCTCGTTTTGAAACTATATATTGAAATAAGCACATTGAAGCTATACCATATATAACATATTAAATGCAATCCTTAATTTAGACATCTGATCCCTCCCTGACAGGAATGAGTCCATCAGGATGGACTTCCTCGGAGGGATGGGAAACCAGGCATGCACCTGCTAAACCTGTTTGATAGAAAAGACGGGCTCTCTCACAGGAGAAACCGAGACCTGACGCACCGAGTCCCCTTGTGCGCGCGGAGAAAAGCCCCCAGCAGTCCTAGGGCTTTACCTAGAAATCTGCCTCGGCTGCAACACCCCAGAAACGCCATCAAGCAAGGCGCGCAGGAAAGCCGCACCCTCTGTGCGCAAGCGCGGCGCTCTAACCACGCCCCCACCCCCGCGGCGTCCCTTCAGCCAGAAAACCACCAGGACTACCGGCGAGCTCGCGCTGCCCGTACGCATGCGCGGTCTTTCGACCACGCCCCAGCCCGGCGGCAGCCTTTCAGTCTGTAGACGACCGGTAGGATAGCTTGGAGCCGCGAGCTGCCGCTATACATGCGCGGCGTTTTTACCACGCCCCCTCCCTCGGAGGGCGGGAAGTGGCGGCCGGAGGGGCGGAATCGTTAGTACGCAGGCGCACGATCGAAGCGCGAGCGCGTTCCAGTCTCCGCGGGCGGCCCAATGCACACGCGCAGACTGCCCGCCTCTTCTCTCCGGCGTCGGCTAGCGGAATGCGCAGGCTCATAAAGTCTTCTAAGTAGAAAGCAGGCCGAACTCGGGGGCCGGGCGCGGGGCCTTGTGGGAGGGCTTAAGGAAGTAAAATGGCGGATCTGGCGAACGAAGGTAGGGGAGGTGCCGTCCGGGGCCAGCTGGCGGCTTGCGAGCGGGCAGCGGGAGGTTGAGGGCGTCCCAAACTCGAAAGGAGTGTCTCCGAGTGTGGGAATCCGGCCTAATCCGGTCTAGACCCCCAGCGGGGGCCCCCCCCCGACATGGGCAAGCCGCCCTCGGCCCCTCTCCTCGCGGCCGGCACGGCTTGGGGCACCGTCCGTCCTGAGGAGCCTTGAGCCCCGGTTTCGACCGTCACCCGAGGTCTTCCGGCCCCGCACGTCGTGCTTGGGGTCCCACGGGGCTGGAGACGCAGCCCAGCGGCCTCGGGTGGGCAGAGACCTCTGGGCCTGGTTGCGGCCGGAGCGCGCCACGCTCCGTTCTCCGCCCCTTCGCTGGGGACCCGGCTTCCGCCCCCGGCCTGGTCTGTGGCCTTCATCTCTCGAGGTCCTCATTCTCCACGACCTCTTCCTTGCACTCCAAGATCTACTCACCTCCACTCACACCGGAATCTGGGTCCCCTATTCTCGCCACTGTTCAACCTGGCCCTCCTGGGTTCACCTGATGCCCCCCCCCCGTCGTTTTTAGGTCCGGTCACCCGATCTTGAAAGTCCTAGCTGCTTCTACACACCCCCTTTTGATTTTTGACACTGATCGCCTTCCCCTGAGCGCTTTGTATGAGGTAATGCTTCCCTATTCTGGAGAACCTGGCACCTCCGTTCCGAGGTGCGCCTCGTGTCCCCCCAGTTGAGGCCCTGTCAATTGAAATGCAATTCCTAGGTGCTGCACCTCCCATTTTTTTTGCACTGTGATGCCCCCAGCTCTCACACTGCACCTGAGCGCTTTGAACAAGGTAACCCCAATCCCGCAATCAACCTGCAGCTGTATGTCCCACTGACGTCTACCATCAGTGCCTGTCCCAGGCTTGTAGCTTCAGGACTTGTCAGGTCTATTTTTAGCTTTGTCTTTTCTCTGTGTGCAACTGCAGGTAGGCTGCCTTAACAGCAAGGACCTGGTTCTTCACAGTGTCATTCTCCTTCCTGGCTGTGACATATGGCCTGCAGCTATACAAAACTCGGGGATGTGTAAGGTTACTCAGAGGATGCACTCAGTCTGGGGGAGGGGGAGTTGGGATGGTGCAGGTGCCCACCCACATAGTGTTTACACCTGCTCTACTGTCTGTCATAAGGTAGCTGCATCTAAGTCAGTTTACTGAGGTGGTCACCCAGCTGATAGAGAGCAGAGATGTGAATCAAGGTGGTCTGGGGTGAAACCAAGAGGTTCCCCGTTCTATTTGTGGATGACTCTATTTTTATAAAGGGGTGGAGGCAGAAGGGGGCCAAAAACTGAACGTGTGTTGTACTCTGGTGATTGCTTGAAGTCCCTTCCTTCATTTTCTTTTTCTTTGGGGAGGAGGGCAGGGTCTTCCTGTATTCCAGGAACTCATTATGTAAACCAGGCTGGCCTTGAACTCACAGAGGTACTCCTCCAGAGTGCTAGGATTAAAGCTGTGTGCCACCATGCTGGGCTCCTTTCTTTTTTGTTTCTTTGTATCTTGCCCCAGCTGGCCTGGAACTGCTATGTAGAACAGGCTGACCAAGATCTTACAGAGATAGTCCGGGTGCTGAGATTAAAGAGGTGTACCACCATGCCTGACTCTTTTTTTTAAAATTTTATTCTGTTTTTGGCTTTTTTGAAACAGGGTCTCATGTAGCCTAGGCTAGCTTCAAACTCACTATGCAACTGGGGTTGACCTTGAACTGATCCTCCTGCCTCTCCCTCCCAAATGCCAAGATGACAGGCGTGTGGTAGACTTATTAGTTCGAGAACTCTGTGTCCCACATTGTTGATAACTCCATTGGGGTGGGTAGCATCATGTCCAGGGCAAAATCCTAACCACCTCTCCACAAGCCTGTATCCAATAGTTTCCATTAACAACTTGACTAAGTCCTGTTTGAATGATCTCCTAGCTGGGAATGAATTCTGTCTCATGAAACACATTTGCAGTGTGTGCCGCCTTTCCTGTGGCCACTGCATCTGTGGGAGCCTCTGCCTCTTTCTCTTCTCATCTGACTTCCTGTACACCCCCCTCCCCTCCTCTGACCCCTCAGCTACAACCTGTACTCCTTGGATGGGCTGGCTCTTCTTTGTGAGACTTTTTGTTTCAGCAAATCCCTCTGCCTCCTGTTGCTTTAACTGTAGTTGCTTGTTGTTTCAGTGGTGCTCTGTGAGGGATTCCCTGACCACCATTTAAATGGTGGCCACCACCTTTTCTGTCCTCTGCCCCACTTTACCACCTCAGTTGTCCCCCAGCAGACTAGGTTGAGCCCCATCAGAGCATCAGTGCCACGAGGGTGGGGAGGGTGGGTGTGTCTCTCTCACTAGTGGGTCCCTTGCTTCTAGAACAGGAGCTCTGAGAGTGAACACAGGAATGAATGAATGAATGAAGGAGTTTGGTGATGAGAATTGTCACTGTGAGAGACTTGGGCACAGAGGGGCCATTTGCTGTCCTCCAAGGGTCACTTTCTCCTGTAGCCCACACATGCTGTCCATAGCCGATTGTACACTCGACCGTAAAATAGACATGTGGAATGTTTGGCAGTGAGCACTCACCTGCTGTTTGTCTCTGATACTGGTTCCGTGACAGTCGGACTCAGGAGGTGACATCCTTGTGGGCTTCTGTGCCTCAGATCCGTCATCCACTGTATCGGTCACTGTGTTTCTAGAACACTCCATCTCTGGGGTATGTAACCCAAGTAGGGTTGTCCCTTTGTAAAGTAGGGCTTCCCTGCTATTTTTATTTTATTTTTTTGGTCTTTTTGAGACAGGGTCTTCCTGTAGCCCCAGCTGTCCTGGAACTCAATGTGTAGACCAGGCTGGCCTTGTACTCACAGAGACCCACCTGCCTCTGCCTCCCAAGAGCTGGGATTAAAGGCGTGCACCACCACACCCGGCCTATTTTTATTTTATGTGTATGAGTGTGTTGCCTGCATGTAGGTAAGTGCACCCATGTTGTGCAATGCCCGCGGAGGACAGAAGAGGCCATCCGATCCCCTGGAACCGGGGTTACAGACAGTTAGCTATCATGTGGGTGCTGGGATTTGAACCTGGGTCTTCTGCAAGAACAACCAGTGTTCTTAACCACTGAGCCATCTCTCCAGTCCCTGGCACTGGTTTTTGTTTTCTTTTGAGGTGAGCTCTCATGTAGCCCAGGCTGGCCTTGAGCTCACCCTGTAGCTGAGGTTGACCTTGAGCTCCTGATCCTCCTGCCTCTGCAAGCCAGGTTCTGTGCATGCCAAGCAAGTGTACTCCAGCCCTGATGCCTCTGTGTTTTGCCGTTTTGCCTCTGTGTTTTGCAGTTTTGGGGACAACCCACTCCAAGCTCCCCAAGTCACAAGCTCCCTCTTACCATTGTCTTGTGCCATTCCAGACTCAGATCCTGAGTCCATCCATCTTCCCTCCCAGCTTCTCCATCCTTCCCATCTCTGTCTGTCCCTGCTCTGGGCCATCCCATCGCTGTGACAGTCTGAAGTGGTGGCTGTCCACTGTGGATGTCCAAGTTCCCCAGGAGCCTCCAGAGAGGCTCTGGTCTGGGGTTCTAGTCACGCAGCCTGGGTCACAGAGCCCTGCTCTGTGCAGCTTGGCTGAGATAAACTTTGCTCACCAGCAAGAGAGCATCCTCTGTGGTGGTCTAGCTCTGCATAGTGCTGCCTCTGGTTGCCATGGTGATCTCATAGTGGGGCAGGCAGCTCACACAGTCCTTCTGTACAAGGTATCTAGTTTGGGGCTCTCAGAAATTCACTCTCAGTGCTTTTGTCTGGGGAGAGAGGGACAGAGAAGGATCTGGAATGTTCCAGGCTCTCCCAAACTCGCTGTTCTTCCTGTTTCTGGAGGTCCTCAAAGCCGTGAACAGGAGAAGCGGGGTTCAGGTTTTGGCAGAGGGCATGGGGATGGCAAAGGGGGCAGGGCCAGGAAACAGTGGGTCTGGCTGTTGCATAGTCAGTCAAGTTCTGGTGGTGGGCCATGTATGTGTGCAGTGTGAAGTGTGCTACAGTGTTGTGGTGCTGTTGGCATGTTGGCTGCATGGGACTGTCCTGTGCATTGCATATGTAGTGGCACGGTGGCTGTTGGCATGCCCCTGGCCCCTGTTGTGGGGTGGCAACCACCAATCAAAATCACCTCCATACCCAGCCCCTCACAGGGTGGGCCATAGTGTGGAACAGCCCCTAGGTGAGGCCCATGGGTATAATGGGACGGTGGGTACAGGGTGTGCCCCTTAGAAGGCAGGTGCTCTTAATGTGTCTGAACTTTAGTTGCATCTCAGGCCTCAGTTTCCCCACAAGCAAAATGGGAATACTGGTCACGGAACCTGTCTTGCTGTGTGCATGTGTGGCTTAGGATGCCGGTAGTGAGTGCTCGCTCACTCAGGGAGAAAGGGAGGGAGGGGTGCTGAGCATGGTGGTACAGGCCAGGGATGCCAGCCTCTCTGGGGGCTGAGGCAGGAGGATTGTAGGCCAGAGGCCAACTTGGACAATTCAGGGAGACCCTGTCTCATAAGAGAGAAAGAGCTGGGGTGTGAGACTTTCCTAGAATATGCAAGGTCTTGGGGTTCCAGCCACAGTACTGCATGGGTGGAAGGATGGGAGGGAGAACAGGATGAGTCCAAATTGTGGGGGGCTCTGCTGCCAGGTTGGCCCTGCTGAGCCCCTGCCGAGACCAGAAGGCATGCCTCTCTCCCCCAGATCCTGTCTGCCTGTCACTGCATGACCTTGTAGCCTGAGGCTTCTTAGCCCGAACACAGTGGACTCCTAGGGGAGGCTCCTTGCTGTGTGTTGGGGATGCCACCTGGACTTAACAGGTGCCCATAGACCAGGTGTCCTGTCACCAAATGTTGGCACATGTCGCCTATGGCTGTCAGGATTGGGCTCCTTGCCACCTTGCTTCTTAAAACCCTTTTCCTATCCTAAACTAATCTTTGGAATGAGGGAAAAGCAGTCCGTGGATGTGTCCTAGGCCAG